AAAATAGAGAAGTAATGGAAATCCAAAACCCCGAAAAGGGAGAAATGAAAAAAACAATCGCTTAATTAAATTGGATAATTGAGTGCGTAAAATTGGAGGGAAATATAATAAATTTAAATTAAATATATAATAAAAGAGATTTTCAATTAATTTTCAATTAATTCGCGGACTGAATAGATTTTTCAATTAAAAAATTCCGGAATTCTCTGCCTTTCGTACAGTCGGTAAATAAAATTCCAATGCGATTCAAATAAAAGAGTGGAAATATTCCGTATTGTATCGTAATGATTCCGATGCTTGAGGATATTATTAAAATAATTGAATCCAAGGGAAAAATCGTGACGACAATGCGAAAAATATCGTGTAAATGAGATACACGCGGGAAAATATAAAACCGCAAAGCCGCAAGAGTCGATAATTCAAGATTTCCCAGTAACCACAAACCGGTAATAATGCTGACCTTCGGCGTCTTACTAATAATGAAAAACAAGAATATGTCGAACATAGTGGAATGAAGTACTTCCGTATTCCAGTTACTGAGTCACTTCTATGAGATTAACTCGAGGCCGGGAAAACAGGTCGTAATTCCTTTTTCCCTTTTATTTTTCCTGGTTCAACGATCTCCTTACGTCCCCCATATCCCCAACTATGCGCAAACCACTTTTTCAAATAACGCGCTTCCGACTGAAATAAAATTTCAAAATCACTAATTACTATTTATACAATTAACAAATTGTCTCTTCACGGAAAATTGACGAAAAATCCACAATTACAGATTCTATTAGAAAAAATCCCTTCAATTTTATTTATAACAAATTATAACAATTGCAATATATCTCTGCAAATTTCGTATTTTTATATTGCAAATATAAATATTGAATTAAATTCAATAAATTTCTCTTGGTGTTGCAAATTTTTTTTTTCGTTTTTCAACACTAGCCGTTGACTAGTGAATATTCTCGTGCTACGTTAATTAAATAAATGAGTTTGATATTGTTAATAGTTAATATTGAAGTAATTTATTTTCTCAGGAGGGAAATTATCGGTATGTGTGATAATAATGGACGTCAGCGTGAATTGACAACTAGTAAAAATGAAGAGGGAAAATGTGATAAGAGGAGTACACACGAGTAGTTTAATTATTAATGTCTGTACGGTAAAGTGTTGTAAATATATAGGTTGGATTGTAGAGAAGTTGGCGCAGTCCTCGTCGTACTTCAACGTGGAAGGATGCCAGGAGAGACTGTCCTCACTCTAATCTATTTACTCACCTTATTAGGTACGTAAAAATCATAATTATAATCCCAAATAATTCCCAAAATAATTGAGAAAATAATTCCCGAAATAATTCCCGAAATAATCACCAATAAATACCCCCAATTATACGACAAGGTCATCCTGTCATTAATTTATGCACCTGTTTGTTTGTTCTTCTTGTTTTCATATTTTTGGAATGAAAATAAATATTCTAAAATAGATTCCACTCATCGTAAATAATATTTCAGTCAAAATCAATATTTTATAAATTAATTCAAACGATTTCTCCACCGGATGCACGCCATCGTAAATATAATGATGCCGTTACGTAAAATAAAATTAATGATTTTGTTTGTTGTTATTTTTTGGTGGATGAATTCTGATTTATGAATTTTATTTCTAGGTTCCACGTGTCAATCAGCCCCAGGTAAATAATAATTAATAGATTCGGTGGGTAAGTGACGGGTTTCCGGTTGGGGTGGAGGGAGATTTCTTGAAATTTCATTCAAACAGCAATTGTAGAGAGGAAAGAAGTAATTCGACGCAATTGTGTCATGAACACGATAAAAATAATAACTTATTATAATTTATTTTGGTATTCGGTGGAAGAAGCAAGTGTTGATCACTTCCTGCGTGATTTAGTCTCTGGTAATAACAATTTATCACCTCATGAGGTAATAAAAATACCATCAACAATTTTTTAAAACAATCATAATCGCTTTAATCCGCAACAATTATTACCGAAAAAATAAATGACATAACGAAATTTTTATTGAAATTATTTTGACGATTAGGATAATTTTATCGAAATATTAATTTTCGATATTTAATTTAAATAAAAGAGAATAAAAAGACTTGAACTAACAGTAACAATTAATTTATTAACTGTTAAAAAAACACTAAACTATTAAAATTATTGAAAACAAGTCTATTGACTTCAATTATTTATCAAAAATAAAACAA